TTTCTCCCTTTCATTTTGGGGTTTTGATCTCCGCTTCCTTGTGCGCGGCCATTGGGAAGTGCAAAAATGGATTTGTTTTCCATGGGACAGCACCACCTGGGCATTGTCATTGTCCAATGTCAGTTTTGCCTCCTTTATGATATCTAGGCCTAAGATCCCTTCGCAGGGAGTGGTAATATCATCTCGTACCACATCGCAAGGTACTATAAATTTCTGGCCTCTTAGTTTAAATGTGGGCCTCGCCATTCCTATAACCGTTGTTTGCCTTCCCAGGATGGGTCCTAATTTTTGTTTAAGGCCAAATTTTACGTACGTTTTTCCCTTCAATCTGTTGGCCAGGTTCTTGGATATGAGTGTATATTCCACTTGAGGGTCAATTTGCATTTTAACCGGAATATTATTCACATAGATTTGTATAATAGGGGTTTGGGTTTNTTCGTGCTATTTTCAATCGGTCCGAGTCGTAGGTGGACGAAAATATGAAATAAAATGGTTCAAATTCTTACAAGATATTATTATTATTTATTGTGAAATTTTTCCGCCCCCTAAAAAGTGCCGCCCGGGGCGGGCCGCCCCTGCCTCCCCCACTACGCTACGCTACTGAATTCATGGATGAGAGCCGTCAAACCTATAGAAATTTATATTATAAAATCATATCTTCTAGACACCAATATCAGTAAATTAAACAAACTTCTCTGTGTCGGTTGTCCGTACAAGCTAGATCCAGACATCAACACGCGAACAGGTGTGCGTGTAAATCATTAATGATGTCATAGTTCTCACCCCCTCAAAAAAATAGGCGGCCAGATGGCCGAGCGGTCAAGGTGACAGCCTACCGCTCTGGAGGACGCAGGGTTCGAATCTGAACGGTTCGAAGAATCCCCAGCAATTTTTCGGGGGGTGGTCCGTTCGAATATGTCGGGCCCCGTCCCTCACCACCCGGCAGCNCTGTGTTATCTTGCGAGGTTATAGGTTGCTTGAATTTTTTCCGGGCTCTTGCTCTCCGGTTTGATTTTGTTCTTCGCGTTTTTCTCTTGGCGGGTGTTATCTGTCTAATTTGGAGGATATCCATAGAAGGTTTCTCCCTTTCATTTTGGGGTTTTGATCTCCGCTTCCTTGTGCGCGGCCATTGGGAAGTGCAAAAATGGATTTGTTTTCCATGGGACAGCACCACCTGGGCATTGTCATTGTCCAATGTCAGTTTCGCCTCCTTTATGATATCTAGGCCTAAGATCCCTTCGCAGGGAGTGGTAATATCATCTCGTACCACATCGCAAGGTACTATAAATTTCTGGCCTCTTAGTTTAAATGTGGGCCTCGCCATTCCTATAACCGTTGTTTGCCTTCCCAGGATGGGTCCTAATTTTTGTTTAAGGCCAAATTTTACGTACGTTTTTCCCTTCAATCTGTTGGCCAGGTTCTTGGATATGAGTGTATATTCCACTTGAGGGTCAATTTGCATTTTAACCGGAATATTATTCACATAGATTTGTATAATAGGGGTTTGGGTTTCAACGATTCGAGTGAACCCTATTTGTCCTTTCCATCGTGTCTCGGTTTCCTCTGTAGGGTTTCTTCAGATAGAACAATCATATATAGGCTCATTTAATGACGATATATAATTAGTGTTGTTATATATATTTCGAGGAGAAAATTGAGGTCGTCCTTTGATGCTTTGAATATGGCCTTTCCAACGGTTTTGCGTTGGTTCTAAAGGCTGCGATCGGAAGCGGACCCAATTTTGGTCAGTTCTTGCGTCGCTTCACCATGGGTCGTCGTTTCGTGAACAGGCGCGTTGATCATTATCATTATTCTCTCAGAGATCAGGAAAATTTTGTGTCCGATTTTGGCTAGGTTTGTTATTCGATTGGTTACGACCGATATTCGTTGCGCCTAAAAGCTGGAGTGTTATATGAACGATTGGAAAAATTCCTGTGCTGATTTTGACTGAATGGCACATTTCTAGAATTGATTCGAGAGGGGGCTCGAGTTAACCCATCCATATGCGTTTTCAGCTCCTTCATCGCTGCTGTTAATTGTTGTAGGTCATTGGGTGAAGGAGAGAAGTTTGTTGATCGGTTGCCTCCCTAACGGTGCGCATGATCCCCGTGGACGTGCAGTAATATTTTCTATCATCTCCTCGCTAATAGCGGCCTTTAGCACATCGTCGAATGTAGCAGGCTCCCAGGACATCGGCCGTTGTCGTATGCGGGGGTCAATCCCGTTTAAAAATTGGGCCTTCAGTCGTTCATCGAGCTCTTTAGTTTGGACCCTTTGTATAATCACGGTTTCTTCTGGAGTGGCCCCCGGTTCCGGTGTGATCACTATTTCCATCGTTAGGGATTGGAGACGAACGGCATACACTTGCACATCTTCGTCCCTTTTTTGAACGCAAGTATAGAATTTGTTTAGTTTAGCTGGAAAAGGTTTGCGTTCAAAGCACTCCAGCATTAAACGCTTGAACTCATCAAATTCGTCTACCGTCTTAATCCGGCGATCCTTCCGGACAAATTCTAGGGGCTATCCCCGTAAGTTTCAGTTTTGCAACAGCCAACATCTGTGCCTTCGACCAAGCAGCCACCTTGGTGACATCTGCTAATGAGTCGAAAAAATCGGTTACTCTTGGACCTCCTGCTTCTCCCGAAAATACGGGCAGTAAAGGTATTATTCCGCCTAAACTTCCTAACGTAAGAGTAGCTGGATTCGGATTAGGGTTTGGATCGGGGTTGCCTGGCCCAGCCGCAGGTTGAGGTTGCGGATCGCACTCCATTATTTCTACTAATTTCTATTTAACGTCCCTACCGTAGGAAATGTTTAACTTAATTCTATTTGATGGTGTTACTCGTATATGGCCTTTCTTTTCTTTCACCTTACTGAAGTTCCGAAGAAATCGGAACCCCACTCCTGCAAATTAATATGTGAACCACCGGGGGGAGGGTGTAGGTCTCCCGATCCGGCAACGGCGGTTTAACCCTGTTCATGGTCAGGATGGATTAAAATTTTGTTAATTTATCCCGCTGTAACGGGATTGCGAGTCGAGTGGCGGAGGAAGGAGTGCCATCGGTAAGGGGGTAGACGATATACGAGTCAAATTGGAGACCAAACGTAACATTAAAAATAACAATTTATTAAAGCTAATTGCGGGTAGTACAACGTCTAATTCCTGTCCCTAAGGCGTGGAGAGCTTACAATAATTGGTTCCATACCTCTTGACTTGTTATCCGCTAAGGAAAAATTATCCAATATTTGATTTAGGAAAGTTTTACAATGTTGAAAGGACACTATTTTTAATTTATCTTCTCCTGACACCTGCTCTGGAACGACTCCTCCAAGAAGGAGAAGGAAGGGGTTTTATAAGATCGGCGTGGGAGAATGGTCACATGATTGATTGTTGTGAGGTAAAAGGTACGCAGATGGGTCAGAGTTGTCCCCGGGACCATGTTAACTATCAACTTAGCAGTTGGAATATGGGATTAGTTTCGAAATGAACGGATGTTTACTTCGAACAGAAAGGAAATTTTTTTTTGTTAGGTTTCACTTTGAGTTAAAGGAAAGTTTGATTAAATTTTTAGGCAAATACGGGGCAATTAATGGGCAAGGAATCGGTAAAAATTCTGGATTTCACACAATTATTGCACATAACAATTGCTTCAGTACAGCACACTCACACTGCAAGAGAATTTACTGCAGGTGGTGAAAAGGTATTGGTTTTAATAAAATTTCTCTGCAAAAGATGTCATAAACTTAAAAATTACTGTGGGAATTGCTTCAGAACATATCAGATGAGAAATACTAAAAAACCCGCACTTCAACTGTTTTATTTTTAAGAAATTCAATAAAAAACCGTTATGTATCTGCTGGATACATACATGCCTAGATGCAGTTAATAAATGAAAATTCTTTAATTTATATATTACAGCTGCTCACATTTTTATATTCATAAAATTTTTAAAAAAATACAAAAAATTATATGGGGCATGGTGTCATATAATATTAAATGATTTAAAAATACTAATGGAAAAAATTACGTTATTTCCGGGTCATATTTGAATTTTTTAGAAGTTATTCACTTTAAAATAATGCAATTTATAAGTGCAGAAACAATGGCACCTTCGCTGCAGCTATTTTTAGTAACAGTAACTGACAGGAAAATTGAAATCTGAGATTATGTGCACCATAGTGCCAATTTGACACCAATAATTAAATATAAATAATGAAATGCTTTAAGCAAAAACTGAATTGCACATTGTAAATCAAAGAAAAATTAGACAGGTAATCATTTTTTCAGATTTTTCAAACAATTAGAATGTTTATACTAACTAATTAAAAATTGATTGGTGCCTAATTGGCACTAGGCATGTGCCGACGTGTTAATTCCAATAAACTAAACATTTAACGTTGTGATGATGTGGCGATATAGCATCGGTTTGGTTTCAGCTGAAACATACAAAATAAAATGATATTGCATCATTTTAAAAATGGTTAATTTTAATCAAAAATTATCTGTGTCATTTTACTTGCAGTTAATGATATTTTATTGTTGCTCACCTCCTCTGCCTGTAAGTTATATATGTATTATTAATTTATTATTTTTTAATTTTTTGCTTATTGCTTATAATATATATATAGTTATTTATTTACATAAAGTAATAAATATATTTAATTTTTTTGTATCTCTATGATTAAAATTAAAGTTTTGCTGAATTTTTAAAATAAAATATGTAGTGTGACTTCAGTTTGGATTGTTGTTTTGAAGGATATTGTACAACGGAGCATGTCATAGTAAAAGAGTTAATGTACTAATTTGTATTATATTTTAAATGCAAATAGTTTTTTGTTTATTTTATTAAAAATATATGAAAAATTAATGTGATGTATAAAGCTTATTATCAGTTTGTTTAATTTATATATAACATACATTTCTATTAATACAGATAAATTTTGAATTAACTTAAATATGGACATTTAAAAAATGATGATAAAACAATTTGATATTCTAGGCACGTACAAGTTCAAAGGAAAAGATTAAGGTTGAACGTCCTGTCATGCATTATAGAGCAAATTCTGAACCATTAATCATTTCTACAGGTGATTTGGAACCTTCAATCTTCACTGAGGTACAAATGTTATTTGTTATTATTGTTAATGATTAGTTTTTAAAACTGAAAAATTTTTACATAACAGAATATTTTACAATATATTTTTAATACATTGTATTTTACTGTTATGTACTTTCAGTGCAAAGAAAAAATGA